AGCCAGTACGTGCAGTAGGATCAAAGAACCCATTGCCATTGTTCTTGAGTTCTCAGTAGTCCTCATTGTCCGCTATGTTCAGCGAGTCCGGTTTTATCCCAGGCTTTTTCAGATCCAGGCCATATGGCCTTGGTGAGTTCCCGATAGAACATCCCCATTGTCTCAGTGTGTGGGTGCACCCCTCGCGGTCCTGAGTTCCTTGCTTGTGCTCTCTCTCCTTCTTCTCCTGATTTGGACCTTGAGGTTTCAGTCCAGTGCTCCAATGTGGGTCTCCGTCTCTATTAAACCAATCAGGTGTTTTAGACAGGTATAGTAATACAGCTTCACAGAGTTGAATAAATGCAACATAAAAGAATGCAACACATCTTTGTATCATTAAAACAAATAATCTACAGCATAAACAAATGTAGCACACCTTAAAATAATATTCAACAACATAGTTTTGCTTTTGTGTATGCACGCGAGCACGTGTGTGTGTGTGCGCGCGCACACACACACACACACACTGTAGAGAAGGTCTTAGACCTGTTTTTTCAAAAAGCTACGTTTGCTGGATACAAAATACCTTTCAGTAAAGCTGACAAAAATAGCTAAAAACAAATTTATGGGAGAAAACAATTATAAGTCAAAATTTTCTGCATTTTAGCAAAGTTTTAAAACTCATGTCATAAAACATGTACATATCTCCTGGCGATCACAGTCACTAGGAACTCCTCATATGGCCATTTATCAAATATTCACATATAGAGATATACTCTGTGTCAGTTTATTCAGCATTGTTTGTATTAGGAAAAAATCACCAAATTATTAAACAATAGTTAGCAATTATAGGCGATTAGTTAAATGAATTATATGCACAATGCAATACTGTGACTTTTAAATTGTGAATAATGTATAGAGGATAATCTTGTATAGAGATTAGAAGAAAAGGACAGACAAAAAGATGCAGAGACAATTAGATCAGAAAAAGGCATAAATATATATATCTGAATGTACAATGGGATAGTATCCATCTTTTAAATGTCAGGAGTTCCCTAATATTTTTGACTGAATGGACAAAACTGTACAAACACTGGAGTACAGAAAATAAGGCAGACAGAAAAAGACAAAACCATAAAATCCTGGTTATTTATATAATCTAAAGGAACTGAATTAATGAAAACAGAAAGAAGAGTGGGAAGGGTTGAGATAAGTTTGTGAAATATACACAATTTTAGGAAAATAAAAATGATTTAGGAAAAAAAGGGGGGATAAGATGACCTTCTCAGTGTAGCACAACAGCTGTACCATCTTAGATGTTTCGAGGTGTGCAGAATAAATGTTTTTTATTGTTTTTATTGAGCTATACATTTTTCTCCACTCCACTCCCTTTCTACCCTCTCCCCTTCCTCCTTCTACTCTCTTTTGTAACCCCCATGCTCCAAATTTATTCAAGAGATCTTGTCTTTTTCTCTTTGCTATGTAGATCCATGTATGTCATTCTTAGGGTCCTCTTTGTTGTATAGAGTTGTTCACTGTAGGCTGGTTTTCTTTGCTTTATGTCTAAAAGACACTTATGAGTGAGTAAATATATTTATTTTTCTGAGTCTGGGTCTTTTTTTCTAGATCCATTCATTTGCTTGCAAGTTTCAAGATGTCTTTTTTTTTTTTTAAATGGCTGTGCAGTACTCTTCAGCTGAGGGGCATCTAAACTGTTTTCAGGCTCTGGCTATTATAAATAATGCTGCTATGAACAAAGTTAAGCATATGTCCTTGTGGTATGATTAAGCATCCTTTGTGTACATGCCCAAGAGTGGTATTGCTGGGTCTTGAGGTAGGTTGTTTCCTAATTTTCTGAGAAATAGCCACACTGATTTTCAAAGTGGGTGTTCAAATTTGCACCACTCACATCAGCAATGAAGGAGTGTTCCCCTTGCATAGTCAACAAACAGTGCTGGCATAACTGGATATCAACATGTAGAAGAATGAAAATAGATCCTTATCTATCTCCATGCACAAAACTCAAGTCCAAATGGATTGAAGACCTCAACATAAAACCAAACACACTGAACCTCAAAGAAGAGAATGTGGGAAGTACATTTGAATATATTGGCAGAGGGGACTACTTCCTAAATATAACCCCATTAACACAGACACTGAGAGCAACAATTAATAAATGGGATCACCTGAAACTGAGAAGCCTCTGTAAAACAAAGGACACAGTCAATAAGACCAAACAGCAGCCTACAGAATGGGAAAAGATCTTCACCAACCCTACATCAGACAAAAGTCTGATCTACAAATAACTCAAGAAACTAGACATCAAATGAACAAATAATCCAACAAAAAAATGGGAACAGACCTAAGCAATGAACTCTCAACAAATGAATCTAAAATGATTCCTTTAGTGGAAGACACTAAAGGAAATGCTCAATATCCTTAGCCATCAGAGAAATGAAAACAAAAACAACTCTGAGATTCCATCTTACACTTGTCAGAATGGCCAAGGAAAGCACTGGTGACAGCTTATGCTGGAGAAGATGTGAGGCTGAGTAAACTTTAAATGTTGTAACAAAGAGAGATGGAAAGCATCTGAAGGGACAGGAATACCCAACAACTTCATTGAATTCTTTATGTTAGATACACAAGTCCTAGCATCTTTCTAACTTATAGATATATGCAATTTGAAAATATTTAAGTATAAAAGAGAAAAATAAATATTGATATTATTATCATTTCAGAGGGGTTGATGTGACATAATATTTGACTTCATAAAAGCTAGAAATTGCATTGTGATTAAATAAAAGTATTTTTTTGTTGGGAACACAATGAGTTTTTAGGGTTTACCTCAGGGCTTAGTAAAGAATTACTTGCAAGAGGCAGAGCACTGTGAAGCCTGGCCTCAGTGTAAATGGTGACCTCCCTGAAATTGTGCAGAATCCTTCCCTCACATACTTCTGTCCACATTCTATACATTCTAAAACCTCTGGAGATCCTGAGACTGAGTGCAATTAGGGCCAGGCTCATTACAGTCGGCTGGGAGGTGCCAGAGGAAGTGGCTGGAATTTCAGGTGAGAGTCAGGACCACTTCCACTCCCTCCTTCTATGAGGGAGCATCATCAGTCAGCAAAAAGCATCCCGAGGCTCTCTTCAGAAAGACACAGTTGATTCTGGTGAAAATGACAAAAGAAAGCGCTCCTTCACTCATAATATTTTCGCATTCTCTTTTATCCACATCACAATCCTCCATATTAAGCTCAACTCTTTTGTTTTCCCTTTTCTTTACTTTTTTATCCTAAATTGTGTCCAGGTGCAGAAGGGGTTTGGGTTAGTGGAAGGGAATTCACTGCCATCGAAACTCCATATGGTCACAAGAGACACCAGAAAATGGAAGAAGGTTCAGTCCAAATGATACTTGCCATAAAGCTGAATTTTTAAAACTACATCTGTCATATTATTTGTGCCACATGAATCATTTGGTTGCAGCGAGGACAAAAGGAACTTAGTGTTAAGACTGCTGTGTGTGTGTGTGTGTGTGTGTGTCCTGCTCACAGAACATACCCTCCTCACAGCTGTGCCAGGCTGAATCTGGACCACGTTGTAACGTGCAGTACTTCACCATTGAAATGGTGGGCTTTGGTCCTCACTAGAAGGCATTTCCTTGAACTTGGCCGTGTCTTTGCTGTTGTTGTTGTTTTTTTTTTTTTTCCTTTCCAAATTACGCCTTTTTTTTTCCCTCCTCCCCTAGTCTGTCACATTCAATTGCAAGAAGGGAAACTTTGAGGATAA